TTCATCTATACTCTAATAAAAAGTTCCTCAGACCAAAGAGGTCACCTTAATACCAAAAAAAAAAAAAAAACAATATAATGTTAAAAAAAAAATTAGCTACTCTTATGATATTAATTATGTAGATAATTAATGACATCAAAATTTCTCAGGTAAACTTTTTATAGCAATATTGGGGGAGCTACATGATTCAGAATTATAAACCCCAGTATATATCATTATTATTGAATTATTTAGAGAGCCAAAAAAAAAAAAAATTCTTGATAGTAGTAAGATAAAAAATCAGAAAATAATGTAAACTATAAATAAAGAATACTGTATATAAAAATTAAATATAATTTATTTATGTAGATTTAATACAAAAGCTCAAGAAAAAATATTCATGCAGATTATATATATAAACAATATAATGTTCATATTTATCTTCTATTTATGCATATACCAATTTTAACTCATGAACATATATATATGTATAAGTTGTTGGAATGAATTAGTAATTATCAGCATTACCAAAAGGTTTTGAGATTAAGAGTATATAAAAAACCAAAGAATTTGAAGTCAATAATGAAATTCAGTTCTTAACTTTAAAATATTAACTTTATTATATTTTATCTTGATATTTTGTAAAGCCTCTTAATTAGAACAAGAATCGTCATTAGTAATATACAATAGATAATAATAATTTACAATTTTCTTTTTTAGCTCATCAAATTGACGAATCAATTGCTAACCTTATTACAAAATCAAATAGCCTGATATTAAAAACTAAAAGTACGAATGCAAAAAGTGATAATGATGCTTCTAATATACCTACTATTAAAAAAACTAAATTAAGTCAAAAGAGTGACTCAAAAAAACAGAGCTAAATATAGAAGTATTTTGATAAAAAAAAAATAATAAAAACTGTTCAAAATCTTGATAATTAAAAAATTAATATTGAAGTTACATATAGCATTTGTAACATATTAAATAATTCAGGTAAAAGTTATGATTTATAAGTAAAAGTTCTAGGTAGCTCAATATTAAATTTAATATCACATCTTTTAAATATACATAGTATTATGCAAAACAGGTCTAGATTATCTAGACAAGACAATAACAATGATAAAGTAATAAATAACAGTGTTAAAAATTTGAATAAGCAAATTTAATCAAATTGCTTGATATCTAAAATCAAACAATTTTATTGGGTCTGTATATTCAAGTTTTCAATATTAATAATAATTAAACTAATAATTAATTTTGAATAAAAATTTTTAACATCTATTTTTATTTGTTATTTTACTTAGCCTACACAAAAAAAAATTAACTTTTTTGTAAAAAATACATATCTTTATAGCAAATCAAAAAATGATAAACTCACTATGAGTTTCATTAAATTTATTATCTGTGGTGTTTAATCTATTATTGGTCTTGTGTCAAGCCAATTTTTTTGTGAGTTTGTGAAGGAATTGGATTCAATATTTAATATACTTAATGAAAAAAGTATTAAACAAATGATTTATAAATTGTATAATCAGTATATCTAAAATATATCAAAAAATTTACAAAATATTATTATAACTTGTTCACTTACTACAAACCTGTGAATAGGTCACAACAAACAAGGTATCTTGGTGTTACTTGTTCATGAATTAACTCTAAATTTAAAATCTATAAAATATTACTTTCTTTAACAAATGTCAGATATCCACATACTGCTAATATTATTCAAAAAATACAATTGCTAATTGGGGTTTTACTAGAAAAGTACATGCAATCACAAATGACAATGAAAGTAACATGAAGACAGCAATTACTAGAATGATTGATATTGTAAGAATTCTATATATAGTTCACACTTTGCAACTTGTTGTCAGGAAAAGCCTAATGCTTACTAAAGTACTTGTAGTAAGAGCTAAACAATTGATTAACTTTTTTATAGCACCAAAGCAAAATGAACAACTAGAAGAAGCTCAAAAAATATTAAAGATTTCAGATAACAATATAATATAATTTTTAAATCAATTTTCTGTACAAATAACTAAATTATTTTTTTATAATAAGTAATTAAAAAAACTTCTACTTATCTTTATATAAAAATAGATGTACTCACCTATTGGAATTCATCTTTTTTAGCTTAGAAATATCTTTTACTAATTAAAGATGCAATTGATATTGTTATAACAACATTAACTATTTCTAGTGACTCAAATCCTAAAGAGATGCAAAAAGATTAAAAGAAATTCAATTAATGAGATTTAATAAAAGATCTTGTTGATATTTTTAAGACCTTTCTATAAAACTACAGAGGAGCTTGGTGGTTCCAAATATATTACAATTTCTTATATACTCTTGTCTATTTTTATATTAATAAAAAATCTAAGTAATTATTCTGACAAAGAATTAAGTAAAGTAGATTTTGAAACAAATAATCTAGTATTTGAT